GCTCTACTTGTGTTCCAGCATGTGGTCTCTCTTTGTGCATGTGCCATGTGGGCTTGAGAAGAATGTGAATTTATTTTTGCATTTAGGGGAAGAGCTATAAGGTTTATCAAGTGAAGTCACCTAATTTTAGAGTTTAGTTCTATAGCTTCCTTGTTACGCTTCTTTCCCTGTGATCTGTATTTCTCATAGAGCTGCGTCTTAAAGTCACCTACTATGATTGTTGAGCCTGTGATTTCTTTTTTTCATCTTTTGGAGCATTTGACAAATTGCTCAGGTCTCTCTTTGGGCAGGTATGTATTTATTATGCTTACCGGTTCTTGGTCTGCCATTCCCTTGAGCATTATGCAGTGCCTCTCCTTATCTCTTGTTATGGCTTGCACCTTGAGATCAATTTTTGTCAGAGATTAGGATTGCAACCCCCAATTTTTTGTTAGTTGCCATTTGCTTGGTATTTTTTTCTCCAGCCTTTGATTCTCAACCTATTTTTGTCTGCAAGCTTGAGAGGTGTGTCTTGTAGGCAGCAGATTGATAGGTTGTATTTTCTAAGGCAGTCCACTAATCTCTGTCTTTTAATGGCAAATTCAGTCCATTGACATTCAGAGTTAAGACATCCATCTGTGGACTCTGTGATGTCATCTAATACCTTTTGTGTTGAGTGTTTTCCTACCTTCCTTATCAGTGTGTTGTACATGTGTGTGTGTGTATGGGGGGGGGTGTTCATTCTTTCCTTCTTTTCACTGTTAAGCCAATGCTCAAATCTTACTTCTCCATCTATATTGATATATAATTTGGTTGGGTAGAGTTTATTGGGTTTGGATTATTTTCTTTCAACTTTTGGATTATGTTACTCTACTTTCATGTCTCCTTTATGGTGTCCCCTGATAGGGCTGAGCATATTCTTGTTTGAGTACCCTTATTACCCTTTTTTTACCTCCCTTTTATTTTGAGTACCCTTTTTACCCCTTATTACTGCCTTTTTACCCCTAACTGCTCTTATGATTTTCTCCTTTTCCTCAAGGTTGGATTGTTTAACTATTATATGCCTTGGCAAATTCTTCTTGGGATTAAATCTAGCTGGTGTCCATTCAGCCTCCTGGTTGGGTGCCTGATTTTCATTCATGAAGCAGGGGAAGTTTTTCTCTAAGAATTCCCTGGCTATTTTTGCCCTTGACTTCTTTTTATGTCTTATTCCAATAGTTCAATTATTCTAATGTTCTTTTTCATAGCATCAGACATTGTTTTCGGATTTTCTTAAGCTTTCTGATTATCTTGTTTGACTGTCTTTCCCATCTGTTGAAGTGTGTCTGGTTATCCTGTAGGTTACTGGTAAGGATCTCCCTTTCTGTATTATTCCCCTCATATCCTATATAACTCAAAGCATCATTCTGAAGATTTATTTCTGTGGCAGAAAAGCATCTGCTCCTATGAATGTTGTTAGGTTCAGGACTTCCTCCGATGTTGCCTTTTGTATCTCCTGTTTTTTCTTTGAGGTTGTTGAGGTAGTTTGCTGTCTGAGTGTCTTTTTGGAGGAGCTCAGCACATTTTTCCAGGAGTTGAAGAGCCCTGGACTCTCTCTTTGGGAGGTTGATAGGAATCAACCTCCTGTGGGTTGCCTGTACCCAATTGCCTGGGGGACAGTCTACGGGTTTGTCGCTTAGGAGTTTCCCTCTCACCCTAACCTATTCTGTTGTTTGGAGGGTGTGGTTGGATGGCCTTCTCAGGGGATGCTTGCTGGACAGTTGCAGGCCATAAAGGTGTGCTGTATAGGCTGATCAGCTGAGAAGCCATGGTGGTTTGGTGGAGAGAATTGGAGGGAGGACTTGGGGGTGGGTGGGTAGGTAGGTGGTAGATGGAGGTTGGTTGGCAATGGTCTCCAGACCACAGTGCCTATCAAGGGAGGGCTGACAGTGTAGTTTCAGTTATAGTGGCAGCATGGTGGGGTCACCATGAGGCCTGGGGTCATGCCCTGGAGGTGAACTGGTTCTAGCCACTCTTAACAGTCTTTCAAAGACCCTTCGTCACCCCCAAACCTGCTAAAACTAGTTTTTGGCCTAGGCTGCTACTTTCCACCCCTGTGGACTATTCTTGTTTATTTATGTAGGCTGTGCTCAGGAGATATGATATCTGCCTGTTTTGTTATGCTAAAGCTCTGTTAATAGACCAGGTTTCTGCTGGCTTTCATTCAAAGTTACACAAAGGAACACAGCCTCAGATTGTTTTTTATGCTTATTTATTTATTTTATAATGGGCTTGTAGGGTGCCTTGGTATCAGAGGCTGTGTGTTGTCCCCCAGAGAAGGATGACGAGATTAGCTGAGTGGGTCTGCGATCCACTGAGCCTGAATTGCACCCAGCTCCCACCTGCACAGCTCTGTAGGCTGTGCTCTGGGGTTCGATGCTCTATCATGAGAAAATATCCTAGTTCCTAGGTCCTGGGGGCTATACAATTGCAACAAAATAGGATCTAATTATCTGTTGCTACCTACACTGGCAGGGGGCTAGGGGAGCTGAGCAGAGGGGGAGAAGGGATGGCCAATGAATTCACTCTATTCCATGCCAGGGAGAGGTGTTGCAAAGCCCAAGAATGCAGGAGTGGGGAGGGTTGCAGAGAGACCTTTGTTTGTGAGCCCTTGTGATTAGTTCTCAGAGACTGTGCATGAGCCCAAGATAATCACCACCCTTAGACAGCAGTCTGAGGAAACTACTGCACTTTGTGGGTCTTGGATCTGGGGCACAGGAAGGGGTGGTCAACATCATCTTACTGGACCTGGTGAAGGATTAGCTGAGCCTCAGGTCAGGTGCAGGATTCCTAGAGTGTTTCAGCAAGCCCTCAAGTCACTCAGTGGGTGATAATCTCAGGGGGAAGTTTGATCCAAAGACCCTAGTACACTTGAACTCTCTTTTGGCACCCTTCCTCCTACTATTGGCCTCCTTACCTCTTAATTTTCTGATCTAACAGGAGGAGAACTGGGCAGGTGATTCTACCAGTAACTTCTCTGAAAAAATCAGCCAAAAATTTGTTTTGATAACCAATTAACTTGACTCTATATTTACAAGAAAGTTCATTTAAAATATTTTCTTCGTGTATCTTTTTAAATCTTATTTGAAGAATTAACAAATCCAAGTTTTTAAATTAATTAGCAAGATTTTTTGTAACATAATTTTAATGTCTATAGAGTCTGATAAGGAGCCCTGTTGCCACGAATGATTAAGTGTTGTGCTGCTAATTGCAGGACTGGTTGTTCAAATACACAAAGACGTGTGCATCACAGTTATTTAATTTGTTAAAGCAGGGTCTTAATATATCAAAAGTATGTTGTGATACTTAAGGTAATATAATAATATAATGACAATGCCCATTATATCAAAAAGGCAAAGCAAAGTAGTTGAAAAATATAGTATCTGAGATTACATGTCCTAATTCATTAGACATTTCACTTCTGGGAATGCTATTTGCATATTTATTAGTCCAGTATCATAACAATTATGCTTCAGAAGAAACCACTTCAATATTTATTGGAATTCAATCAAAATTATATGTTTCTCTATGCAAATTAATTGGCTGTTTGTCTAATGTAGACTGGGATTGGAAGGATTGGGATCAATACTATAAATTGGAATTACATCAGCTTTATAAAGTTCCCATTTTCTGAGGATTGCCTGGAGTATGTGTTTTCAACAACAATGTCAGAAGCACCAGTTTCCAACCACAATGCTGTATCATACCATTAACATTCCAATGACCACAACAATGCTGTATCATACCATTAACATTCCAATGTTCAAGGCAACTTAGA